GAGATACTCAGTGTACAGAATGCCTGTTGAATATTGATTTCCAGAAAATTTATTCCAATTCAGTTATGTGAGATCCAGTCACACCACATTCTTGCCATCAATAGATATAATCCATTTTTATGTCATATTTGGTAGAATTTCCTAAAAACATAACTTATTATTGAAAATAAATTTTTAAAATATTTTATTTATTTATTCATGAGAGACACAGAGAGAGAGGCAGAGACCCAGGTAGAGGGAGAAGCAGACTCCCTGCAGGGAGCTTGATGTGGGACTCGATCCCTGGTCTCCAGGATCATGTTTTGGGCTGAAGGCAGCGCTAAATTGCTGAGCCACCCAAGCTGCCCGGAAGATAAATATTTTTTTTGTTTTTTCAAAATCTCTCCAAGCTTTCAAGTTGATATTAGTATCTTTTCTGTTCCTTGCCCAGACTTCCCATGCATTATTTGTTTTTGTAGTCTTTATCTTTTTTTTTTTTTAATTTATTTATTCATAGAGACACACACAGAAAGAGAGGCATGCCCCTTGCAGAGAGCCTGACGTGGGACTCGATCCCAGGTCTCCAGGATCACGCCCTGGGCTGCAGGCGGCGCTAAACCGCTGCGCCACTGGGGCTATCCCAACTTTATCTTATTTTTGCATTACTTCTTGAGAAGCTGTAGCTACATATAAATAAGCACTCATTTCCATATTCATATGCACGTTCACAAGCATGTACATTTATATGTAAGTAGGTAGCCATGCATTTAAATGTTAATATTTAAATATTATTTGTGTATTTATTATTATATAAACTGTTTAAATATCTATTATTTATTGTGTAAAGACCGCTTCTTTTGTTTTTTAAATGTTATCCAAGATGAAAGTTCATATTGTAGTATATGTCCCAAAAAGAGTTTATGTAGAATTCCTTGAGCATGTCACATGCTTAAAACTGTTTTTAATAGCCTTGAGTTTTGAAGGAATGCTTGGCTGGATATAAAGTCATCATTTTAGCTTTTTTTTCACCCTTTTTTAAAATGTTGCTTCATGACTTGATCTACAAGTTGTGTCGGCAAAGTCTTATGTCATTTAATTCTCTTTAAGTTATTAGTCCCTTTGCCTTTTCTAAGCATGTGTCTATACCTGGAATTATCATGTTTGTTCTTTTAATTGTTTCTGTTATTACCTGCCACTCCCTACCCACCAAAAGTAGAGACCTGTATATCTACTTAGTCATAATATTCCAGCACTTAAAATAGTAGCTTACACACAGTATCCATGATCGTGTTCTTTGACTATAAAAGTTTTTAATTTTGATGAAGTCTGTTATTTTTTCTGTTGTTTCCTATACTTTTGGTGTCATAACTAAGAAATCATGACTGTCTCCAAAGTTATAAAGACTTTCTCCTGTGTTTTCTTCTGTGATGGTTATTTTGTGAAGTTTAAAATATATTTATAATAAAAATTTATGATAATGTGAAATATTGTATTCAGATAGCATCAGGGAGACATTAGAGTGCTGTTAATATTGTTTCTTTGAGTGCTCATTACACAGGCCTGTTCTCTTTGTGAACATTTAAAGAGCTATATACACACTTCTCATTTCTGATCTTTTGTGTATGCGTGTTATACTTCAAAAAAGGTTATTCAAACTATCCTCCAAAATAAAACAAAGCAAAAGTAACAAGATAACACATAGAAATAAAACAAACTGGGCAAGGAGAGCACAAAAAGAGAAATTATAGCCAAATTTTCCTTATAAAGACAGATTCAACCAAAATAAATAAATAAATAAAAAATAAAGACAGATTCAAGAATTCTTAATAAGAAAATTTATTTCAGCGGTTTATTAAAACAAATGTAACATGACTAAAAAGGGACTTTCCCAGGCATGCAAAGCATTTAGTAATGAGAAGGAGAAGAAAATTAGTTTGGGAAAATTTATACGGGAATATCAGATGAGTCTGCAAATTTAATTTAAAGCAATAAAAAAAAAATTTAAAACAATCCAAAACAAATGGGGCATAACGTTAAGGTTTTATAAGTCCAGGCAATAAGACAAAGGTGGTTGTTACATTGTTTTCTACTTTGTTCTGTATGTTTGAAATATTTCACAATAAAAGACATAAAATAAAATTTTCCAAAAATTATAATTTACATAAAAGTACATCCTATTTTTGGAATAAAAAAAATTCAACTGATATTTCAATAGATGCATAAAATTTCAATAAATTTACTTTTGGTAAAGTCACTCTGCAAATTTGGTATATAAGAAGTCCTTTAATTTGATGAGGCAAATATGCCAAATTCTACAGTGCATATAATAACAACTATTAGGATTAGAGAGGCATTTTGATTAAGATAAAGGATACAGAAAGGATGCTTATAATCTTCTTCCCATTGAACCTTATCTTGGAAGTCTGTGCCAATGAATGAGACAACACAATAAAAAAGAAATAAGTGATATAAGTATTGGAAGGAAATAAACATCTTTTCCACAGCCACTGTGTTTTCCTCCAAGGATAACATGAAAGTGTATATAGATAAATTATAAGAATTAAAATAAGGATTTAGTAAGGTTTCTAGATACAAAATCAGCAACTTTACACCAATAAGAGGCAACTAGAAAATATTATAAAATATTTCAACTCACAAAAGCACAAAACTGCTAGTTACCTATAAAAAGATCTCTGTGGAAAAAAAAAATCACGGAACATTGTTGAAGGACATGAAAGAAGCCCTACATAAATATTACCATATTTTTGGATTAGATGGATAAATATTATTAGCATTGTTAATTCTTCCCAAATTAGTTAATAAATTAATATAATTCTGAATCAAATCATAAGTAGGATTTTTGTGGAACTATACAAGCTAATCCTATTTATTTGGAGACCAAAAGGCCAAGATATAAATCGAGATAATTTTTTTTTTATTATTTAGAACAAGAACAAGGACTTGGACATATTAAATATCAACACTTTCTTTTCCAATTGTGATTAAGATTGTTGTACCATGCAGGGATATAAAAATAGACCAATGGAACATGCTGTAGAGATCAGAAACAGACTCCCATCTGTGTATATCTAATGTATGAATATACTGATGTTACAAATCAGTAAGACAAGAAATTAAGCCATAAAAATGTTCCAAATAAATAGTTATGCATGTGGAAAGTAGATAAAACTGGATCTATGCCCTATATCATTCACAAATATTATTCCCAGCAAGAGTAAAGAGTAAAGAAGGATTTCTTAAATAAGATGCCATAAAGCACCCACTAAAAGGGAAAAGTTGATATATTTCATTTGAATGCCTCTGTAAAACAAAAAAGACATTGTAAACAAAATTAAAAGCCAAGGCACAATAAGTTAATATTAGTTTCCAATATATAAGAACTACAAATCAGTAAGAAATAGACAATTCGTTTAAAAAAATGATCAAACAGGGATCCCTGGGTGGCGCAGCGGTTTGGCGCCTGCCTTTGGCCCAGGGCGCGATCCTGGAGACCTGGGATCGAATCCCACGTCGGGCTCCCGGTGCATGGAGCCTGCTTCTCCCTCTGCCTGTGTCTCTGCCTCTTTCTCGCTCTCTCTCTCTCTCTCTGTGTGACTATCATAAAATAAATAAAAATTAAAAAAAAATAAGTAAAAAATTATCAAACAGTAATTCATTGAAGAGGAAATCCAAAAGTTCAATAATGAAATGAGAAGGTGAGAAAACTCCATGATAGTTCAAATAGAGACCAAAAAAAAAAAAAAAAAAAAGACTAATTACATAAGTGTTGGGAAAGCATAAAGAGACTAGAAGTCTCATCTCATACACTGCTGGCTGAAGTATAAATTTTAACAGCCATGTTTGACATCATCCTGTCAACATTTAGGTAAGTTGAAAATGAAGACACTTATTGATTCAGCTATTCTGGTCCTAGATAAATACCCTAGAGAAACTCCAGCTCATGGACAGGTGTGTATAAGAAGGCTCATAGCAGCACTATTTAACAGAATAATAATAAAAAGGAAAAACCTAGATTTTCAGCAACTGGAGAATGAGTATTGTACATTGTATCTCTACAATAGAAAGCTTAACGGTAGTTTTAATGAAGTAAAACAAAACTTAATGAACCACAAAACCTCTACATACAGTTGAGTGAAGAAAAAGCAAGTTGCAAAAAATGATCTGTACGGTCTGACTTTTAATAATCTCTGAACACTTGGAAAGCTAATCTATATAATTTTTAAAGATATATACAGTGGTAAAAATAACATGAGTATAAAATGACCAACAGGGATCCCTGGGTGGCACAGCGGTTTGGCCCCTGCCTTTGGCCCAGGGCGCGATCCTGGAAACCCAGGATCGAATCCCACGTCGGGCTCCCAGTGCATGGAGCCTGCTTCTCCCTCTGCCTATGTCTCTCCACCTCTCTCTCTCTCTCTCTCTGTGACTATCATAAATAAATTAAAAAAATAAAATAAAATGACCAACAATGCATCATTAAAATCATTTTGTGAATAAGAGCAAGGGAGGGAAATGGGATTAGGGAACTTTTTCAGTTGAATATCACTTTTATCTATAAATTTAACTTGAAAACATCTAAAGCAAATAGGGCATAATGTCAAAATTTTGTAAAGTTGAGTGATGTATGTGCAGGTGTTTGTCATATTTTTTGTACTCTTTCTGAATGTTTGAAATGTTTCACAATAAAATAAAGTACAAAAGATATTTTACATTATTTAGATCCTTGTGATGTATAGAGTTAATAATACAGCAAGTATCAGTTATAGGATAATATTTATTATTATATGAATAACAAATGTTATTAAATCGTGTGAACAATTAAAAGAAACTGTTTTTTTTTTTTTAAAGCCACCTTCTGGATTTTCTCATAGACCCTGACCCAGGCATAGTCATTAAATAATGGCAAACAAAGACAATACAGTTGTAGAGAGACACACAGCACATAACAAGCAAAGCTGTTTCCATTAAGATAAGCATATACTGAAAGATCAATTGTCAAATCATAGAGCCCAGGTTACACGACGAGTTTGCAGTTGTGGTCTGTTTGGAGAACCTTCCCTTGTATGAACAATACTACGAGGCGCTGCTGCATTTTCTGGTAAGGAAACAATTTTTACAGAACTCTCAGATTCCTCTATGTCCTCACTTTCTCTTTCAGGTGTATGGATGAGGGTCACGCAGGCACAAGCACTGGTGGACTTTTTACACTCTAGGAGAGAGAGAATTCCTGGGGAAAAAGAGAAGCCAGTGAGAGTGATGAAGAAACAATGGAAAGTTACAGAAACATTTCCCTCTGTGTCAGCGGAAAGACTCCAAGCCAAAGCCCAGTGGGTACCTTTGAACTGCCCCAAGCCATGGGGCGGGGTGGGTGGGGTGGTTAGTAGAAGAGATGGGAAGTGTATGCAGAAGAGCTTAAATGCTGTACATGTCAACAGCACCGAGGACTCATGTTGAAAGGAGACATGCTTCTGAATTTGTATATGCTTTCCAAATGACATTTTAAAGACTTTTGAAGAAAAGAAAGGTCTCCAGTCTTGGCACATGGCCATTTAACATCAAAAATTGCTTGTCTCTGACCTCAAAGTGCCTTGGCACCACACTGGACACCCAAGGTACCCTGTCACTCTCCACATCAGTAAACATTCCGTATCAGCCACTCTCCTTCATCCTGACTTTGATGATTATCTCTGCCCGAAGGGCGAAAGGTGTGAAAGACAGTAGAAACAGCAGAAATTAGAGCTGCCCTAGGAGCAAACTTATTGAACATTCCACACAGCTCTAATCTCCACCTCTACCCTTGGAGGAACTGTCCCCAAAGAGTGAGTCCACTTGAACTTTAGCCCTTTAAAACACAAGGTTGGCACCTTTTCCCCATGCCCCTTGCCCATCCTTTTTGACTCTCCTCTCTATCAGGTATGGACTGGTTCTTATTACCCACCGGAGGCCCTGAATATACTCACCAGAGGCCATAAAGAAGGAAACACTTAAGTAGGTAGTGAAAACGATCCAGGTGATCTTGTAAGTAGAGTAGTACACGGATTGACCTTGCTTTAGCTTTAGCTGATACAGTATGAGTGCACAGAGCAAAAGGATACCTTTCATAAAAGGAGAAAAAAAAAGTCCCTTCTGAGAACTTTGGCTCTTCTATTCAAATCTCAACCCCAAATATGCCTGACTTCCAAGCTTCCACCCTGTACACCAGCACCTTGTCCAAAAACCAACCCTATTCAGTGGTAGATCCAATTCAGAAGCTGCATATCTGAGCCAAAGAGCTAGGAAGACTACAGCCTGGACCCATAAACCAAGTCTGTCCCCAAGCCTGTGTTAGGGGAACCAGGAAGTTACCTGTGAAGAAACTGAGGAAGACAGTGATGAAGAGGACATATTTAGTTTGAGGAATGAAATAGGTAAATTCCAAACCCAGGAACAAGTTATGGACAAAGGAAAGGCTGAGACACAAAATCATCATGATCCTGACCACTTCCAGGCTATCTGTTGGAAAGCAGAAGCTGTGTTGAGAGAAGGACAGACATTTCTTCTAGGCTCATTTCCACCTGAGGACCACAAATTTCTAGGTTAAAAATTGGAATGGGGTAAAAAGATTTGATTAAATATAAAAGAGGGACAAGGGGAAATAATTAAAAGGCAGGATCCTTAAACTGAATGAGAGAACCAGAGGAAACTGCTCTCTATCTTGCTGTCTCTATAAGCTTCTTTTCCTTCTATTCTTTTGTCAGAACAGATTTCTTGTTAATTCATCCTGTCCTCCTCTAGTGGCAATACAAGATAGTTTCCTTGTCGCCAGCTACCTTTATTTTATGCCTTCATGTCCTAGATGTGCTGACCCACCCTGCTGCTACTGCCAACACTTCTCAAATGTCCAGCAATTAAGTCTGTGAACTTCTAAACTTTTCCCAAAAATATGCAAAATGGTGAGATTTTGGAGTTGGTCTTAACTGTTGATTATGGAACTGGCCACAGTGTACCCTGAGGAATTTGCCCCAGAGAACAATGAGTAAGCTGATGAGACAAATGGAAGCCAAGGAAAGATGAACCCTCCCATTCCACCCACCTCTTTCTAGGATAGTTCTGACCTTCTGGCCAAAGAGTAGTACAACATATCCAAGGACTGTGGCTTATTGTATTTTTCTTTGTTTCCAATGTCAGTTCAACCCATTCTTCTCTGAGGTTTCCTAGCGTCAAGAAGATTAAGGCCCATGAGGAGAAGAACATGTTGGTGGCCTGGATACCTCTGGGTGATACTTTTGCCATTGCGAGTGGGGATTTCAAGCTGAGACCACCACCAATATCTCACATCTCTCTTCTCTTATTTGATTACTTCTTCACAAGGGAAGAACAAAGTCTAAACTCTTAGTAATTGCTGAGGCACTGGAAGTGGTGGAGCTGATGTAGCCTATAAAACAGAGAAGATAAATCCCACTCCCACTACTCCTGTATCTGGGCCAGGCTGCTGTCAGGGTAGCCAACTGCCATGGAATCATCTATTGGCTTGACCCTTGACCCTGGTGACTAGTACAGTGGAAAGACCAAGGGGACTACAGGTTCTGAGTGAGTTGTCCTTTATAGAGCAAGATATAATATCACATATTAGACAGAGCTGCCAGATATGGTGATAACTAGAGGCCTTGAAAGAAGTTAAACATGCCTGGCTGAAGAGGCCCAGTTTTAGAGCCAGGGATCAGTGAAGAGCAGAAGGAATTCAAGATCATTGAAGGAGTAATCAGCCAGCTAGCATCACAAAAGGGAATGACCACTCAAAACTTAGGATGTTTTGGAGAAACTCGTGTCCTCATTTGGAGAGCCTAAAGAAGTCTAGTTAGGTGGGCTTCTGGGAAATAGACCAGTGCCTCAAAACCACAAGAAGTGGCTTGGAACACTGAAGCATTGCAGTCTAATATCATTTATAAGGCACAGACTATTATTTCTTGACTATTTAATCTGTAACATGGCAGAGAAAACATTTACTGATTTCTTGTGTAGAAAACCATGGTATGCAGTAATCTCAGAGTCAAAAGACTTATATTAAAATCCTCCCTAAAAAAGCTTTTTATTGAACTAAGATAAAAGTTATACCTAATGGCCTCTCTTTGCCTATTTGACCTTATTGCAGTCTACAAACTGGCTTTTTTTCATTGTCTCAAACATGCTATGCTGTCTTTCTTCTAGACCTCTGTACATATCTTGGTATATTTTTTAATTAATTTAAATTTTTTAGAAACAATGCTCAATATACTTAATTTTACAAGGGACACTTTGTAGTTAAGAAAATGGACTCAAGGCTCACCTGAGTGGCTTAGTTGGATGAGCAGCAAACTCTTGATTTCAGCTCACATCATGATCTCAGGGTTGTGAGATGGAGCTTCTCATCAGCCTCCATGCTCAGAGGTGAGTCTACTTGAAATTCTCTCTCTCTCTTTCCCTCTGCCCCTCCACTCACATTCTCTCTCTCAAAAAAAAAAAAAAAAAAAGAAGAAAAGAAAACAGAAAATGGACTCACGATCCTAGATCTAAATCCTAGCTCTACCACCAAACAGTTTTGTGATCTTACAGATAATAATTTGTCCTACTACATAAGAAGTTTGTAGATTATAGGAGTTTAGAGATGTAAAGCATTTAAGAAGAGTTCTTGGCATGACAAATGATATGTAAGCAATTACCATAGCATTAATTTAGTCTCCCTGGGACAGCAACTCTTAAGGCAGAGAATTGTGTGTAGACAGTTTATTGGGGAGTATACCTAGCAGTCACACCTGCCAGTGTTTGTGGGAAGTAGATTTGAGCATAATTTGAACTGAGATGTAGTTGCAACAAAAGAAACATTAGCCAACCGCCACAGGAGCTCTGGATCTGGAGCAGATTTCTGGAGTCATCTCGAATGGAGCAAGAAAGCTCAGTTTGCCATGCAATGCAGGCTGTCCCTGGGCTGGTATCTCCGTTCTGTGTCCAGGACGATTCCTTTCTCTCAGAAACTGCAAGCCTCAGTTCCATCACTTCTGGTGAGCATGGGAATAAGCTCCTATCCCTGCCCACTCCTATATCAGGGCCACCTTGCTTTTAGGGCTGCCAACTGCCATGGAATCACCTATGGGTTGACCTTTGACCCTTGGGGGCCAGTAGCAGAAAGACCAAGAAGGTTACTGGCATCCATGATAATTTATATTATTGCATTCTTACATATTGATGCTTTTATATCAATGCAATAGATCCTTATGAGTCAGATTCTGGGCTGAAAGGTTTACATCTCTTTTAAACTTTAATAGGTAACGACACAAAGATATAAAGATGTAACCAGATTAGAGAAACTTGTGAGATGTGATGGATTTGTGAGATACAGATCAAAGAAGAAATAATGTGCCCAGCTAGGGACAACAGTAGTCAATGATGCCGTTAAGTAAGGTATAAAATGTGGGTGGAAGCACAAGTCTGGTGAGGAAGAAACTAGTAAGTAAAAACTGGTTTGGGTTCAGTTTAAGGAATCTATGGCACATAAAATAGATAGAATTTAGTTCTGGAACTTGAAGACAGATTAGGGGTTACCAGCCTGGGGATGACCATTGAAACATGGGTGTGCATATCCCTGTACAGGGATGTGACAAAAGAAGGCTTAACTGTTGGCTATGTTTCTCACATTCTCATATCACTTTTCCTCCATCAGACCTCTTCTCAGGATTGCCTACACAGAAAGGAGCTTCTTCCCTTCCAATGGGGAGCTCTAACCACTGTCATTCATGTTCTCCAAGAGGATTGACTACTGACAAAGAAACTCCAGTATCACAAGGCAGTATGCTTTACCATTGCTATAATATGTTACAATAAGCCGCAAAAAATGTTATTAAAGGCAAGTATTACCAAACTTGAAGCATGCATATAAAAGTGTATCCATTGAATGACCCCAGGTCCATTGGACCCTATGTAACCTACTCTAAGACCTCAAACCAGGCTTCTCAGAATTGGTGAGGAGATGACTGAAGGCAAAGATTTGCAAAATTGAATTTATAATCCCCACTTCGTGTGACAATCAGAGACCTGGACTCAGAATTTTGCCTCATTTGTGGTGGTCTTTCCTTTTTGACCTGTCAATACCTCTTTCAGTTTCTGCTCAGAGGGATCTAAGTACTCAGACTTGAGTGATATGGCTTTTTCTCACCACCCTTGTAATTTCACTTTTTGTTAGACTGCTATTTTGTTATTTCCTTCTGACAAGAAACCACAGCAGAATTCTGTTCCTGCATTTGTGGGCTATTATACTAAGGAAGTTCCCTTCGTGACCTCCAGAAGCATTTATACTCTCATTCCACTAGAGAGCCTTAGTTATATTCATATCAAAGAGAAAGCCTATTGCTGGATAAAGGAAGACATTTGAAAATACACATCCCTGACATGGGACTAATATCCAGCATACATAAGGAACTGCTATAAATAAATATAAGAAAGAAAAGTTTTCCAGTAGGAAAATGTGTTAAACATATGAAACAGACACGTCACAAAGAGAATATCCAAATGGTCACTAAATATATATATTTATATATATATATATAAAAGGTCAAACTTATTTGTCATCAAGAAATTGAAGAAAGTACAGAAATGTTGAGCAATGTAGTGTGTGAAACATTCTCAAAGTGAAGAATTATGGAACAAAGGTGATTTGTTACTACCTGTATTCAGTTTCTGAATGCTCAAGCAGTTTTAGGGCCTTTGAAAATATAATAGCATCTAAGATACATCTATGAATAGTAATGAAAAATGTAAAACTTTTCCATGCATATCTTCCCTTTGTTCTCTTAGGAAAAAACTTTAGAAATTCTACCAGGAGGATGCCTGGGGGGCTCAGTGGTTGAGCATCTGCCTTCACCTCAGGGCATGACCCCGGGGTCCTGGGATCGAGTCCCGCATCAGGCTCCCTGCATGGATCCTGCTTCTCTCTCTGCCTGTGTCTTTGCCTCTCTCTGTCTCTTATGAATAAATAAATAAAATATTTTTTAAAAGAAATTCTACCAAGTTTTCTGTTACATCACTATGGAATTAGTTCTTTGCAATATGTAAATTATGGAGAAGAATGAAAGAGGAACCTCTTGAATAGTCTGTGTGAATCAATGCAAAAGATGCTATAAAGCAGGAAAAAAAGACCTGCACTCTACTTCCCATTCTGCCCCTAATGGGCCATTTATTTATTTATTTATTTGAAAGGTCACTGTATCCTGACCATTTTTTCTTTAATTTAATCTTTTATATTATTTTCTTTAAGATTTTATTTATTTATTCATGAGAGACACAGAAAAAGAGGCAGAGACACAAGCAGAGGGAGAAGCAGGCTCCCCGCAGGGAGCCCAAAGAGACACTCAATCCTAGGACCCTGGGACTGGGACCTGAGCCAAAGGCAGACACTCATCCACTGAGCCACCCAGGCATCCCTATTTTATGTTATTTAAATTCAATTAATTAAATATAATGTATTATTGGTTTCAGAGGTAGAGGTCAGTGATTCATCAGTCTTATATAACACCCAGTGGCCATTCCATCATGTGCCCTCTTTAATGTCTATCACCCAGTTACCCCATCCCCCCACCTCCATCTCCTCCAGCAACCCTCAGTTAACTGGCCTTTTTTTTTTAGTGGGCAATTAACTTTCTTCTTTTGAACTTTAAGTTTAAATGAGATGATTTTATTTCTTCTTGCTCCATGTCTCAAGCAGTAACCTTCATGTTTGGGATAGTAAATCTCTGTGTGGGATATGAAAACTGTAGAGAAAGGAAATGAGAAGATCTGTGTCTTCATTCAGTAATTAGGATTTGCATGGCTGAAATCTGACCAAAGAGTAGGTAAGTACCTTCTTTCTCACTAGACTGGACAATATCTTTGTGGTGTTGGTATTGGAAGGGAATCTTATCATTCATTCAATCATTCATTCACATTCGGGTCTCATTTTTTTAATAGAAATAAGCCTTTGAATACATATTATACATAACAATTAATGTCTCCTTTCTGTACTTCTGCTCCACCCTGTGAATACTTTTGGAATTATTTGTCACATAATGTTAAAATATTTTGTATATATGTGTATTTTTCCTAGACCATAAGTTCCTATAAGACATATTTTTTTTTGTCACTAATAGAATCCTCAGTGTTTGAAATAGTACCTGTCACACAGTATTCAAGATTTGTCAGGGAGATGAATTTCCACTGAAATTCATGATGCCCTGACATTGATTAGACATACCCTAGCTTCCACCTTTCTCCACCCTGAAGTGTCC